ACAGAGCTGAAAAGCGTTTTAACACGTTCATAGCAGTTTTTTCTTCAATTTAAGACGTGTCACAGCTGTCTGCGTCGTTTGATTTACGATTTATAAACAACACAAAATGATGAAAAAACGTTACAAAAGTTGTTACGGTAACAGAGTTAGCCGGTCACGTTGATTTTTCTTTCTTCCAATAAACGCTCACAATGCATTTTTCTCAAAGTTTCTTTGCAAAACTTTTCGGTCGTGCTGTTCACACAGTGTGTACTCTGTCTGCATTTTATATATACAGAATTGAAAATAACTACAGTGCATCTTTATTTTCAACTTTTTTCTGGTCCAAATGACCAGAAAAAAAGTTGAGCATCTGGAACGATTTTTGTACCAGGATAGATGTTGCCGAGGTCTGTGCGATATTTTGTTAAACTGCATTTATTCTACAAAAGGCTCCGACGTTCATTTGTCTACTTCCTTTCTTTTTTTGTTTTTGGTGCCTTGAGGCCTTTCATTTTGTTCAGAAATGTTTGCACTATACGGCTGAAAACATTTCAGGTCGAATACATAGTTCTGATGTTTTACAGCTCGATTTCTGGTGCTTTTGATAAAATTTCTGTATACATCGGTCCTACTAGAAAACTTCAGGTATTTGTCTGGTACTGGTAGGTTAGCCAAAAGCCATATAATATACTACATCAGGAGTGTGTCAGACATTTTGAAAATACAAAGGTTTGAAGTTCGATAGATGAGAGTACAGTAGACTCGTAGATGTCATAAACGTATGTATTTTTTTGTGTACATCAAATTAAGGATAAAGTTTTTTCTAGTTATTTTCGTTGTTATAGACAACGAGGATCTATGATTATAGTTACCACCCAAATTTTTGAGTGGCAACTTAGCCAAGAAAGTTTTATACTGGTCGAGTTTTTCAGAAAATGCGCGAATTTGAACTACCAAATAGCTTGAATCTTCGCTGACAAATAAAAGAGAAGAGTGTTTGCTGAAGAGAATAGTGTTTTGTACCGTAAAACCCGAGTTTTTGTCCGAATCTTCTACCTTGCAGTGAGGAACCATATCCCGATCGAGCTATATATCCCAATTTGGATATAAAAATGTATCGCGATCGGGATATTATAGTCCAATCGAAATATATTTTTTTCGATATCCTGATCGGGCTATAGTTTCCTTACAATAGGACCGTAGTTTAAAACCGCCCAAAACTAATTAATGTGGCACTTGTAGTGCAAAGATGATATAGAACATAACATACCAGTCATCAGAACTTGAATGATCAAGACGCTCCAGCATTTTTAAAACTTTAAACTTTTGAACGCAATTTACGCATCCGAAAACGTTTTTTTTGTAAACAATGTTGTTTACGTCGCTATACGGATGACGAATCACGATGGATGATCGTGACTGTAATTGAATATTTCACTGGATACACTCACCTTATGTACGTTCAGAGTAAGAGAAAATATCAAAATATTTCGAGAAAGTGTTGAAAATAGCTAGTAAAAAAAGTCAAATATCCTGATTGGAATATAGAATGTGACCCTCGAGAGTTATTTAAAAAAGGTGGCTGATCGGAAGAAAGCCTTGGTCACAAGGAAAAAAGAATCTGAAACAGTTTTTTACGCTCTTTTGTATGGTATGGTCAAAACTTTCTGCGAACACCATCATGTTTTCGCTAACAAATTTTATTTAAAAAATCGAGTTTATATCCCGATTGGACTATATGCTTTCTGATTATATTCTAATCGGGATATATTTTGATTCAAAACGGGATATAGAGCATGAGACAGTACTACCTTGTTCCGAATGTAAATCCTAATGTCGCTAAAATACTAAGCGGTTGACGTATTAGGTCATCATACTTCACAATAGCAGCGAATAGAAATAAAAGTGTCCTTAAATTTTTGTCATTCAGTTTATGTCTCGATGATTTTCGCGCAAACCGAATTGTTTTGTACTTTTGTCGTTGCCTTTTCTAATCAGAGGATATATAATACCTGCTACTATGTGAATATAAGCTTTTTGAATGAATATAATGTAAAGGCAGTTTGCATATTATGCTGGAGAGAGCGCTTGTTGATTTCATATCGTTGTACTCCTATTTGATCCGGCTTCCCAACCATATCGAACGTAACTATGAAACTTTGTGTGAATAATGTTCTTAGGTAAAACAACGCATGAAATTAAAGAGTTGTTATGGATATGCGGTTACAAATGAGCTAAAATATTAAAAGTGAGGTTGATTATAAAATAATTCTAATTCTTTACATAATGAGAAATTGATACTATATATAACTGACAATCAACGCTACATTTTAGTGTATAAAGAGAGTGTTTATACCCTGAAAGGTCAAAAAGTTATCTGCATTTTTGTGAAAATAAATAGAATCAAATTATCGCAGGAATCACACAACCAGATGGAACAAAAGTGTAATATAAGTGATCAGCATACCATAAGAATAACATTCAGAGAATAGCAATTTACATAGATCGGAAGTTGCAGCAAATTCGGATACTTATGACTAATATCGATTTATTGCGGTTCGTTATAATGACAGAGTTGTAAATTGTTTACTTGTGTGTAAAGGAAAAATCATACCATACGATGTTTGCATTGCCAAAAAGTTATGAAATAAAGTATGTTTTTTTTTTCTTAACGATAGAAAACAGAAAATAAATTTTTTATTTTGTTTAATAACTAAAAAAGGAAACACTATAAAATCACAGAAAATCAAGTGTATTTCTCTTAGTTTATATTTTTATTATTGTTATCAATTGTGTCATTCAAAAGAGAAGTATCTTAGCAATATAATGCAGCCGTTATTAAAAATACTTGAAACCGTCATGAGTTATACACATCTATAATAAATATTATTGCTCAGTGATAGTTAAACAAAACATATTATCCTGACGGTTTAAAACTAATATAAAAGAATAAGAAAATTTTATTTGATTCTTGTAGAGACTACGTTGATCTCTAATAATCAACAGATATGCCAAATGCAGATGTATCAACTCGACCCGTTTCGATGATTATCACATCTACGAATCACAATGAAGAAACGAAACTAATAAAAGGATCCCAACTCAATATTAACTCAATGCCTTTGAATCTTCAACAACAACAGAATCATGATCGCTCTTCATCATCATCGTTTGATGGAGGAACAAATGACGTAAATAAAAATAATAACAACAATAAACAATCGAAAGAGTTACTCGATAGTTTATCAGATAAGTCCGATACTGATGAATTATCACAATCCGAAGAAGACGATAAGGAATTTCGTCGAATAGGAAGCCAATATTTACCTGAACTACGAGCATCATCAAGACAAAATAAACAATTTCAAAAGTTATTTCGAAAAGAAATAGCTGACCTGCCTGAATTAATTGATCATTATGTGTGTGCTTATCAAGGTGATATTTTATTACAAGGCAAAATGTATATGACTGATAAATATTTATGTTTTTATTCACGAATAATTGCCTATGTTACAAAACATGTCTATCGTTGGGATCAAATTCAAAATGTCACTAAAGAACGTGTAGCATTCATTTTCCCAACGGCAATTGGCATACAAATGAAACAAACAGGGAAAAAAATTATTTATGCGTCATTTTTAATGCGGGATGCTGCATACGACACTATACTCCAATTATGGAATACCTATTTGGAAAATGAATCGACAAGGGAAGATAATAAAGATGATAATAATGCAAAAAATTCGACACTGAAAGCTCCATCATGTACATGTCACGGTCTCAATACTAATAAACGTGAGAATACATTAATAAATCCAAATTCTGACAAAGGAGATGGTGATAGTTTACCAGTTTTCCAAGAAAGATTAGTCGATGATGTGATACAACGTTGTATTGATCATGAAGAGAAGACGAAACAAGCCGAACAAGATAAACTGTTAATAAAGACTGAACATCAAGAACGACAACCATCGGTGACGTCAAAAAGTAGCGATGAGAAGCAGCAACAAAAGAAACATAGAAAATCGAAAGATATGGCTACAAATTTGAAAATACATACAGATGCAACTCATACAGATCAATTGATTTCAAAAGCACCAGCTGAACATATATGTGGTCGACATCCGGACGTAAGACAACATCATTCACGTTCACGTTATAAACAGAAAACTGCTGATCATAAAACAGATTCAAAAAGTACGTATTCGTATTCGATTGTAAACAAAAATTCGCATAAGAGTTCAGATTAAGCCCTTTGTATTAGTTAGATTATGGGTTTTCCTCTGTTGGTCTATCATTTGCTATGTTATGCAGAAAATCGTTCAGTAACTAGAACTGACGATAATTGTAATAGTATTACTTAAAATGATTGGAAAAAATCTTAAATATAACTTTTTATTTTTAGAACATCTTCAACCTCCCAATCATATACGACGACCACATCGAACACGAAGTGCATCATCACATCATCATTTGTTAGATACAAATGTTTCCAATTCGAGAACTATCCAAAATCGTTCCGTCACTCCTGAGCCTATGACACATGTTGAAAATGATAATACAACGACTACAACAATAACAAATAATGATAGTTTAATGACACCGTCCCTTTCCTCTAACTCACTGCCAACAACAGTGGCAACATCAGAAAATTCTATGCTAAAAACAATGTTAAAACAATTTTTATTAGTATTAAGCCGTTTAAAATTCCATTCATTTAGTACATCCTTGACATTTCTGGTATTTATCATTTTACTCTTTTTTCATTCAATATATCTAATTAAGTTGGCCTATCGTATTGAAAATCGATTGAATGCGTTACAATATCTATGGCCAACTTCGTCACCTACAACAGTTAAAAATAGTGTACCAACTTCAGCACAAATGAATCACAAAGACATTTGATGTTTTAATATTAAAATGACAAGATTAGTTTAACCGGTTTGAAAGAGTATCATACCCGGTTATCTCAATGTTAAATATTCCGTCCATATATTTAAAATAATTTTTCTTCGACAGTTATTGTAATTGTGTACGTGTGTGTAAAATGCCGGTGAAGTTTGCTTTTAACATTATATTATAATACGCTTGCCTTTATTATTCAGACAGTCTGATGTAACAATGTATTGAGTAACATATATGTTTTATATATGAAAAAATATGAATACACCCAGCTTGTGACCTTTGAATTTATTTATTTGATTACCTCCTTTTTAACCTCATTTCAACTGGATATATTATCTCGTGTAATTTTGCACTAAAATATACAAATCTTCAGGCCAGATTACTTCGTCTCTTCATCGTAATCAATTGACACAAACTTTTTATTCTTTCATCTGTTTTATTTTAATCATTTTTAATACAACTGTTTTGTTGCCTTAGTTATAATCATTCATACATTCACTTACCTATCAAGTACTATTGTCAGAAAAACTGATATACTCTCTTCCTGTCCGTTATTTTGTGTTAATTATATATAAACAATGAATTGTATAAAAAAAAAAGAATTTTTTTTTTGTACAAAGGAAATACTCTTTGTATACAGTGTTTTACATCTTTTATTCACTTTTGTTGTTGTTTGTATTCCATGACAAAATTTTAACGTCGATCTTTGTATATTGTTCAATCGGCCTAAATGATAACGTTTTTTTGTATAAGTATATTTACGATTTTTGTTTACGAAATCAAGAAAAATAAATTTTTGTGTTGTTGTCATCAGAACAATATTAGGGGGAAAAAAATACTTAAATATATATTACAGTGGAAATTTTAAGTTCAACTAGTGGAGAATAAACTTTTAATCTCCACTATAGTGGGATTTTAAATTCTACTAGGCAAAAATGACTAACACTCATACTTCAATCTCCACTATAGTGGAAATCAAAATTATAAATGAATGGATGGAAAGGAAAGAAATACTTATAGATTAAGGTGGTATAAAAGTTCACACAGTTAGTTATAAGTCATAATGGATACATTTTATGAAAAACTCGATGTGCACATACTCAAATTAAATGAAAAATTACCTGATAAGAATTCTCCAATCAGACAACGGAAAGGAATTTGTGGCGAATGTCATCAAAGTGATTTGATTTTAGAGGTTAATCCGGCTGAAATACAAGATCTTCCATTTTTCAGGATTTAAAGAAAACGTGGACAGATCTCAAAAAGTATTTGTGATTGTTAATAATATTTTCAATAAAAAAAAGGGTATTCCTGTTACTATCAGCATCATGTCAGGCAAATTATAATTTCCACTATAGTGGAAATTGAAATATGAGTGTTAGTTATTCTTGCCTAGTGGAATTTAAAATCCCATTATAGTGGAGATTAAAATTTTATTCTCCACTAGTTGAACTTAAAATTTCAATTTCCACTGACAAGAATCAAGTGGAATTTGAAATTTTAATTTCCACTGTAACATATACGTCCAAACTATAACTGAATAATACGCTGAATGGTTTTCTTGATAAACTTGTATTATCTCGAAGACGAAAAATACATTCTGTCTTTTATAACAATGTTAATGATTAAATATGCTGAGAAATCATCAACACAAATCTCATCTTTTCATATATTTAAAAAAGTGGACAATATACAGAAAAAAATAGATAGCTGCGAAAAAGAACCAGGAGAAAATTGTAAAATAAATTAAAGATTTTTCTTTGGTGGTGAAGCAATGGCTGCTGTATCATTTTGTTGATATCCGGCGTACATGATCGATGCAATAACAGTAAGTATGGTAACTCCTTGGGCACCAATACGCGCTCTAAAACAAACATAAATCATTTTGAGTACACTTTAGAGAGAGAAAAAAAAATAAATAAGCCTCAAGTTACCGCATATAATATTGAGATTGCATTTTATCACCACGTTTCATTGCACGTAAACCTAATACCAAAGCTGCTACAGTAGCTAACATTCCAATTCTAAAACAGACGACATTAGCTCACGTTAAATTTTATTAAATTAAGAAATTCATACGGTATAATTGGATTTTGTTTTGCTCTATCACTTGCTGTTGAAACATATGTTTTTCCTTGAAATTGTTGAAAATCTTTAAGATCTTGTTTTGATTTTATTGATTCTTGCACATAACCATCTGATGTTGATTGTACTACAGTATAATCGGCATTCTCTTTTATTTCTGGATGAAGATGCAACTGTTTACGTTGTTTAAGTTCATTATATAATAATTTCTAAAAAAATATGTAAATACAATCGATGTAATAGTTGAATGGAAAATAATTTTAACTAACTTACCTTTTTAGCTGAAACATATTCTAAATCATTATCATTGTCATTTAACAATTCACTTTTTGATTGTTTTTTAGAGACCATTTCAGTACAAATTGAATTTTGTAGTTACATCTAGAACTACTGAAAATTTAGAAATATCTGATTGTCATATTAGTTGTAAAATATCACCATCCGTTCACTTACATGACGAAGTAAATATTTTACCGATTCTTTTAACTATCTAGACATCTGTTGTCGATCATAGTTTGAGAGAACTGTAATAGATATTGAGGTATTTGCCAGTTAATTATACTTTGTTCATTCATTTTCGTTTTCTGTCTCTCTTTATATGCAATTATGTGTATAGGTATCAAATAAACACACACATCACAAGTGATAACACTGATAGATAGACAAAACAAAACAAATAATAGACAATAAGAAAAATCATAATTTCATTCACATATCAGCAAAACGAAACATTTGTATATCAGTAGTAAATTTTTTTTTGACAAATTACTCTATCAAGAAGAGAGTAAAAGCTAAAAGATGCAGAAGTCTGCTATTTTTATCAGATACTCATACAACACAAAATACCACTGTACTATACAAATTATATATTTGTACAAGATAAATAATAAAATAGAAAATTCTATGAAATAACAACGACACAAAAACGTATGATGGCTATGTGTGACGAGAAACTAAATGGTTCACTCAATGAACAAAAGGGTGAAAGAAATATTCACCGAGTGTTCAAAGAAAAAGAAGGATCAACGACAATAAGATGGAATGAAACACTAAAAACATACGATGAATATTTATGTGGAGTAATATTTTGAGAGAGAAAAATATGTAGAGATAGTTAACAATGATTGAAATTTGTTAGAAAAAAAAAGAACTGCGTAATTGATGTAAAAAAACAGCGTAGACCACATTGTTTTGTCGTAACAATGAAAAAAACTATGATATGTTTCGTACATTCAAATGGGTCAGGATAGCAGAAAAATAACTGTTTTAAAATTCAAATAAATTCAAAAGAAAAAAATTAAGAAAGCTATAGTTTGTTCTTTCGCTAAACAAAAATTCGGAAAAAGCATATCTCGACTGGGAATCGAACAGTAGTAAAGCATTGGTCTTGTTAAGCGGTGTCTTGGGTTCGATTTCCAGTCGAGACATGCGTTTTTCAAATTTTTGTTTATCAAAAGTTTAATCGCTAAATAAACTATAGTGTTCTTAGCTTTCACAGTAAAAGTCCTGGTTCACTCTCAAATTTAAAAAAATTTAACTTCTACTGGTTTGATAAGGATGATGTCTCACTTGTGGTAAAACATTTGTCCGTTGAACTAGTTGTGGTTGTTGTTGTGCTACAATACCATTTTGATACGCAGCTGCTACTGTTGGTTGTGGCGCTGTCATTCGATAGCCCGGATAATCTACAACCTGATATGTTTGATTTCCAGCAGTTCCATAAGGACTAATTTGATATGCATATTGTGGTTGTTGTGTTGCTTGTTGTTGAGTAGCGGTATTAAAACCATTCATCGATAGAGCAGCATAAGATGCAGCATTATTTTGTAAAGCAGCTGATGCTTGTACAGCTGTCAAACCTCCATTTCCCGTTGCCGAAGTTGGTTGATATTGTGCGCCCTGAGAAAAGAATATTTGTACAAATGAGATTGTTTTCCCAGTGTGAGTAAACAAAATAACCTCAAGTGATATGTTATTCAAGCTATTTCGCATTGTGAACTGATAGAGTTGTTACATTATTCTATAGAAATATGATACCGTTCGAGTGATCCTACGGTACTACTAGAACTGCTGTAATTCAGAGGTGATACTTCTCTGGTATCGAATAGCAAACATTAAAACATCTATAGATAATAACTTACAACTGTTGCATATCCGTACATTGCGGTTGTACCGTTCGTAGCTGATGAGGGTGCTTGGGCTATCACATAATTTTGACCGCCTGCTTGATAAATTGCATTTGCTGAAGATGTACCAGCATAATACATTTGTTGTGAACCAAGAGATGCGCTCGATTGTAGTGATTGTTGATAGGCTGATTGATTTGCGTATGCCTGAAGCTAAAGTAATAAAAAATTAAAAAGAATGATTAATTTTTAATAATTGAGATAGATTGTAGTCAAACTCTTATGCCATACTTGTGCTGGTGTGAGAAAACTAATTTGTTGTTGTGGTTGTTGCTGTTGAGCTTGAACGGCATACGTCAATAATTGCTGCTGTTGCAGCGCTGTATTCGAAGATGTTTGTTTTTGTTGAGGAGACTGCTGTTGACTCTGCACTTGCGAATTTAATGCAGATGAACCAGATGCGGAAGCCGATGATTGTCCCAGCGTAGGTTGTGAAGAAACACTGACATACTGAGCTTGTGATGTTGCTGTATACTGTGGAGTGGTTGTTACTCCTAAAACAAAAAAGATAATAAATATATGATCATAGAACGGCAAGTCATTATCTTTCTAAAACCAATCATCGCCTGTTTTATTCACTTTATTCTAGTGAACTAACAAGAATTTAGAAACGTGTTTTTTATTATTGCGCAAATTCCCTAAACTAAGCGTCCCAAACTTCAAATGAAGTAGGCACATGCGTACGAAACTATAATTTGAAATCAAACTTTTATAACTACCATGTTGCTGTTGTTGTTGTGTCGATTGAGATGCTGCAACCGTATTAACAGGGCTTGTTTCAAGTCGTTGTTGATGAGCATACTGTGCGGGTAACTGAATATATTGCGTTGGCGGCGCTTGAATAGTCGGTTGTGCTGCATATTGATAAACAACTTGTTGTTGCCCATATTGCAATCCACCACCACTGAAATGATGAGAAAAAGAGAATAAGGTACTTTCTGAAAATTATATAGTACAGCTTTCTGTTTTTACTTGAGTGTCAGAGGTAATCGAGTTTGTGTTCCAAGAGCCGTTTGTGGTTGTTGTCGCTGTACTTGTTGCGAACCAAGTAAGGCTAACCCTCCATTTGCCGTTCGTACGAGCATATAACCGGGTGGAATACCAGACACACCTGGTTGGGATACTCCTGTCGTCATCTGAGATAATTGCGATGCAGTTTGATTACCCGCTGGTAATTGTGCATAAAGAGTAGGTTGTTGACCTGCTTGACCCGCATGAGTTGCAAATGCATACGGATTCGTCTGATAACGTAATGCTTCTAATGGTACACCTAAATAAAAAATATTCAGTAAGAGAATAATAGATCTAGATTGATAGATAAAATAATACATCACTTACCACCATACATAATTTGATTACTTAATCCGGTAGTGTTAAGGTTTGCTGCGTACAACGCTGGCTGAGCAGCGGTGGGTAACGCCCCTAACAGACTTGTTTGTCGATGATATGCAGATGCCGATGCGGCTGGGAGTGCTATTGTTGGCAACGTCGCTACAGATGATGGGATTTTTGTTATATTACTAGTTGTCGTAGAGTTGTTGCTCAATTGTGTTGTCGACAATGTTGTTGCAGATAAGCCATTTGTTGTGATCAGAGTTGTCGGAGGAATTGTACTGTTCGCTGATGTAAGCGCACTTGCTAATGTAGTATTCGATGGAGTAGATGTAGGTGACAAACTACCGTTTGACATCGGCACCAGCAAACCATTATTGTTATTTGTTGTTATCAAAGCATTTGAAGAATATGTACCAGATGTTGATTCCGATTGTATTGGTTTAACATCAACATCATCGTACGTTTGCTCAAGTGCTCGCATAGCTGCTTCTGCCAACTTCAAGTTATCATTCATTTTCGATTTGATCATTTGATCATCTGTTTGTGCAATAACACGCAACGTATCTGTTTCCAATATTTCTGGTTCAAAATCTGAACTGTCAAAACTGGTTGGCCATTGGGTTCCTTGAATTAGAAAATACATCAATCCGAAACGCTTAAGAAAAGAATACGGAACAAATATAGACATACCATCCTGTACGAGACTAACAATTGCATAAGGTAACACATGGTGTGGGCGCTTCACTGTGTCTTTTCCATCGAGTTCATATAGATATATCTTAATAGAAAACACAACTAGATGTTTTTGAAATGGCGTGAGATGGCTTACTTGTGACTGATCAAACTGTTTTTCAAGATCATCTGTATCCTTTGGTGTTATAACCGAACAATGACTTGTAAATTGTGGTGTTGGTGCTATTGGTTGAAGTTTTGGTCCTTTTCTTACTAATGCTGCTGTTTGTTTTCCTTCAATGATCTTCAAAACAGAAAATAAGTTAATATATGTAACAACATTCCTATCTATTATAGTGACAAGTATAAAACGACTTACTTTAAATACAATCATTTTGATTGTAATACTTCCTTCCCATGTTCGTCTTACACTTGCTTGCCTTATACAAACATCAGCATATTTGCATACGTAAACACCACATTTGCTGTGACCTAGAATAGATTGAACAAAAAAAGAAAGAACAATTCGAAAAAAATGGCAAAGAAACACACACACACAAATCTAAACTATTGTACCTGAAAATAAAAAGAGAGAAAGCAATCCATGCAAAATTACATAAATGCTATAAACGAGAAGATTAACAATATAGTGTGTATAACAGTAACAGCGGAACAATAAGCAAAATGAATTAATCAAAAAAGTACAGCAGAAACATTATCATGTTAATTATAGAAAATTGTAATGTGTTTTTTTCATCCTCTTTGTGCACTCATCCATCGAAAACAGCTACCATCACCACGTTCAAATTCGTAAATATTGAATAATCATATTAAATTATTTTGTGCAAAAGCCGTCTGTATTAAATCAATTTGATCAAAACGGGAAATACTCTGCCTCTTCTGAATGCGAAATCACTTTGTTTCCCAATCTTTTCCTTAACATCTGCTTTCAGAAACTGGAGCAATAAGACGATCTAAGATTCAACACTATACTCTCAAATTAAAAATAACCATACTGCATATCTGACAAAAGTATCTAATAGAGAAACATTTCCTCTAATAAAAAAGGTATTTATAGTTTATCGAACTTTCTTCACGAAAAAAAGACTTCTCATTGGTTGGTCTCACGGAAATGAAAGGGAACATAGATCTGAAATGTTGGGATTATTCTTAACTAAAGCGAGACAATATTCTCTGGAACTTCATAGACATTCGAAGACTTTATTGAACAGTCTATTCACTTTCAGATGTTTCTGCATTCAATTGCTGTGACGTAAACCTATAGTACATATCATAGACTTTCGCTCATTGATTTTGCTTAAAAAGCAGAACGTCACTAATTAACATTTTCCACAATCTAAAGAAGCTCGTACAGATGAAACAATGTAAATGATAACATTTAATACCTTTCTAACAGAGCTCAATCTTTGTAAATAATAGTATGAACAGCCTAACAAATAAAGATACGAAATTTACTTCTGTTTCAGATATCACCGTTAATTAAGATGAGTCGCATTTTGATGACGTGGCATTCCTAAATAGCAGTGAGTAGTAGATATTGCGCAGAGAAATGAAAGTAAAACAGCTGTCAGTCAAACTCTTTGGTACTTCTACACTGTTTCAATGCGTTCAGATCCTCTTTTCGACTAGTGATCACGCGTTACTTCATGTTTGGACGGTATAGTGATACCAATAATTCCTTCATGAATACTTTGGTTTTTCAGCAGTGTCATCAACCAGCAAATGAGCTACGCTGTAAGTTTGTTTCGTTTCAGTATTGAATGAATTATGAAAGTCATGAAATAAATCAAGCAAAAATATCATGCAATACAGAAATCTAATGAGCAGAAAAGTATATAGCATTAAACGGTACGAATAATTTTATCATCCTGAATACTTGATGATACTGCTCAATACTCTATTTGCTTTTCATCGAAAAGTGATGAACGACTCGGGTGCACATATTTCTAATAACTACAGTGAATTTAAGTGTCAATTGTCCATTAAAGAAATACAACAAAGAAAAAAAAGTAGGAAAACGACATAGCAGCGACTTAGCATCGATTCGTCACCAATTAGCCTCTTTTAATTTGTCTCACAATTTTTTTCTCAATTTGTCCCAGATATTGCGATTTTCACGTTAGGCAACTCTTCTGCTTCAATTGTTGAGTGATTATATTAGAAGGTAGAAATAGATGTTAGCTGTAGAAAATATATCGAACTATTAGAACTATCAACATCGTACACCGGTAATGATAGCCGTATAGCGCGGTATTCTTCCTTCTTTGCCATCGGATACATCTCATCATGTTGTTAAAAGAATGAAACATTGACTGAAGAAACTATTATTTGTTGGTTTATTGCCTCTTTTTCTCGAAATATTGTAGGATCTAGCAAAGTTAGAGTGATGCTGAGTAGTCCTATTGTAAAAACAAATGAACATTCATTACAGACTTACATCCTGGATGTACTTATATGAACATAAATCAGAAACAAATTGAGGATAGAACTTTATGAGACTAATTTAGAGTGACTGACTGGAGAAAAATCAAAAAAACATCATAGAAGCAAAATTATTCTTAAAACATATTCATATATATATATAAATAAGCCATTAATAAAAATACACCAAAAAATGATTATGAAAAACATGAAAAGTCAACTCACATGTGAAATCCTCTTTGTTCTGTCTATCAGTCCTAAATTTATCAAAACAATATATTTCAATAATTTTGATTTCAAATGTTAAATGAACAAAAACCCCATTGTTTACAGCAACAAAACATTTTCTTTTTCATAAGCAAAAGTTGATCACTTCACTATGTTAAATTGAAGAGCACACGTATCTATCTTTCTTATAATATGTGTACAATAGTCATGCATTATTTAAAACTGATAAAAGAAAACAAAAAAAACATCAACATGCAAACAAGAGTTTTAAGTACAATGATGAGCAAGTATAAAAGTGTTTTTTTAATATGCTAATAATCCCAAATAAACAATATACAGATAAACATTTAATACTTTTTCTTTGTTAGTAAACAGAATGATACTAAGAGCGAACATATGTGCAAAAAATGACAAAGAAAAAGATTGAATAATTTTTAAAATTAATGAATTATACTATCAATTAGTAAAGAATAAATTATATAGTGCCAGAAGTATATATATATTGCATGTGAGAGAAAAATAAAAACATTGAATGAAACAAAGCAAAAAAACTTAAAATTAATCCATCGAACAGACAGACGATCATGAACAACATGAATATGTCTATGATGAGCATAGAAAGAAACGTGCAAAGTGTTTCACAGTAAGTGAATAAAAAACAAAAATAATTATCCATCTATATTAAAGTGTACTTGCGAACAAAATAGAAAAGAATATAATCGATAATGATTTGAGCAGAAATCATTCGCAAAATTGAAGATAAACACAGTATATAATTTGATGTGTGCGTGCGTGTGTGTGTGTGTAACGTTTTTTCCGCTATGCAAGTCATTTTTGAGAAAAACTCAAAATTTAGTATCGTTCATTTTGATAAAACGTTATAATCCTAATTCAATATTCTCACATCTAACCTCATCTAATGTATTTCCTATTCTAAACTGGTAAACGTGAATGCCACACACATATAGCATCAAATACCACATAGAGTCAACACGCTTTTTTAAATATTAAACAATTAGACATTGATCTATAAATTTAAGTCCAAACTCACACCAGGCAAGAAAATAGAAAACAAACACACACACACACATACACACATGAATCACTAACTGAGTATAAGCATGACATTTGGAGAAAGAATTTCAAGAAAAAAAATTATCAGAGAAAAATCAACAACGATTTATAATATATTATAATCCCATGGTTTCAGTGATTAATCAAATTTTTTTTCCCGGTGTGGCAGCTGTTTTATTTTGTGTTTCGTGTATGAACGGAAATGCATACATGAACAAAAAAAAAAGCAAAAAATAACTACAATAACAACAAGATGAAGATTAAAATAAACAGTCACAAATAATTAGAAAATGAAGAAAAAACATGGCGTGTGTTAGCAATTTTAAGGATAGAGTTCACAGAGAAAGAGAGAGAGAGAGGGAGCATATAAATATGTAAGTAAATATGAAATAAATAAATATTATATATACCTAAAACATTGAAAGAGGTTTCGGTGCACTGATAACCATTGTGACAAATTTCAGATACTTGTGCATCAGATTCTATTAAGAAAGCATAGCGTTCATCATATTCACAGCGATTTTCGGCCGCATTTTGCTGAAATTTTTTTCTTATAGCTGAAAATAAGCAAGACAAGCAAAATGTTACAGACACCAAACATGTAGATAAATAGATAAGTAGATTAAAAAAAATGTGTAAATACCGCACGTTATGTTGTTTGAACCGCTCAAATAAATAATTTTTAGCAACTTAACGCATGTTAAATCGATGTTTAACACAAAATAGTTATACACGAACGTGTTCAAACAGGTTAATTATTTCAAATTCTAATGGATTTTCATGATTAACAAGTGTGTGTTACTTAAAAATAAAATATTTTTGGTTTTCGAAAAATACAAGTTCACACGTGTTAAACTGACGACACTTATACAATAGCAAAAAACTAAATAGCAATACAATAAGTCAACGATCACCATCTTTCTTTTTATCTTTTAATTTTCTTTCAATTTTTGTCTTTATAATTACACTTTGATTTGTTATCGTTAATAAAAAAGCACAAAAAATGACAAAAATTTATTTTCAATGAAAGAATACCTAATTTAACCCAAAATTTATTCGTTATTATATTTTAAAACCTTTTGAACTTTTAAATGCCGATACAATTTCATCATAAGATAGTTGATCTATATGGGAATGAAAGTTAACTTTAAATTAAGTGAAACGTGGAATGCATATCTGACGACTTTTTAATCTGATACTTGCAATCTTTGCCGTTACCATGCCATATCTTTCGACATAGATGTTCAGTCAGTCATGATCAGCGATTCATACAGATCTACTTGTTTCTCAATATGCGTTTATAGTTAATCAAAGATACCTTTCACACATTTATTTAAATCCTAGATTTCCATCTATCAAACGTTACATAACGCGTTTACAGCTCATCAAAAATGAACTTGTTTCCGTATGGCAAGTTGAAGAATAGACGAATGAAAAAAATGAAAGAATAATGCGTTAAACTTCATTGATATAAAGTAATTAACTCAAAATAACATAATAACTACTCAAATTTTTGATAATTAAGACATCATAACACGTTTTTCGTGAGATGATGAACAGAAATTCCTGGCTATGGTTTACAATGCTACATCAGTTAATTCATTCTCTCACAATAGTTGGTGATTATTGAGTATCTTAAATGCATAAAGAAAATTGTATCTTCTGTAAATCAGTAGGAGATCAACTGAGTTTACACAGTAAGTGTATTCATAATGTCAACTAATCGTTACTCACTCACCAGAAGAATTTCTAATTGCTTTAAGCGCCCGTCTTATCAGTGCAATACACCTACTGGGATAACTAGAAAATTGATTGACAAATAATATAATCGAAAGTGGTGGATATCAGCGCGAAATCCTAGAAAATTAACGAAGTCAATTTGTTCTTGTTTTTTTCAAAACTATGTACTATTATGAATATATAATTGTGTCTAATCGAAAATAAAACAAGAGATTACCAAATGTATGTGTCTTCCGATTCAAGTCCGTTTAGTGAACACATCACACAAGCTGAGAAAAAGAGAATGATATAATAATAATCTAATAAACAAACGTAAATTTAAAATCATGCCATTCATTTTACGTTTGATATTTCATTAGTTTATATGTATTGCTCATGTTATTTAATAAAAAACATAGAATTTTAGTGATAGTCAGCATAATTATTTTGTCGAAAGATTAAAAAACTAAACACCAACAACAATAACAAGAAATGAATGATATATATATATACAACATGCAATATTTAACGGTTTTTTTTTCATTGAACAAATATAAGCACTAAAAATATTAGTCTACAATTGTTATGTTTTGATCATTGATATACACTTAGCAATAAACTAACTACGGCCAACAAAAGAAAATAGACACAAATATTATCAAAAAGAGCAAAATTGAAATATATTAAACATGCGGCGGACAAATTAATTGGAAATGTGATTGTGTGCATGAGAGTGAAAGAAATGTGTGCATTTTATAAAGTTCTATTTATATGAATTTTAAATACATTTAAAGAATAACGTGCAAGAAAAAAAGAATATTATCATTTCAAAATATTAGCAAGAAATTTCATGTGAAGACGTTATATCGCGCATACAAATAAATGACGTAAAAATCGATAATAATCAATTTTAAAACTGTTTACTTCTTGATTCGAGTAGTTTTTTTAGTCTGTCTCTCATACACTCATTACGTGTTTTAGGTATGAAACATTTGTACATAAACCGTAAAGTATAAAAATCAATATAATGAGATTATAGAAAAAGAATAAAAGAAAAATCTATGCAAAATTCGAATAGTTATAACAACATGAACAAATTTTTAAGTTAAAAAAAACGTATTGTATAAAACAAATACTAAAATTCTTATATGTTTAAATGCATGGTTTATGGTGTAATTTGTGACAAAATAAATATCAAAAAAGAATAAAATAACAATAATTTTCCAAAAAGAGCACTTGGCTGATATAAACGTTAAAATAAATCATACACGCATACAGCGGCAAAGTCTATTGATAATAATATGAATAAAAATAAAAAAAACATCAAACAAAGAGCAATAATTCATCTACTAAAAAATCAATCAAAAAATCTAGCTAGCTAGTTTGATTTAAAAGCTTCATATAGTTTTTTATTAAGACTTTCATATTAAGAAGTTTATAGCAGTTTTACTATTCTTACTATAATAAAAAGTTAATCGTAAGTAAAGTAAGGAAGTTTAATCATACTTATTGGTACGAAAAAATCATTTAATCGACAGCTGAAGCCGTTCAAAGAGGACCGCTAGTTCTTTTTGTTACCTGTGTATTTTTTTACATATTTCATGCAGACTTTAGACCAACTCTTCTAATCGATCAGAAATTTCAGATCTCTTGATTTTGGCAGAAAATTTTCTGATTTTTGGAATTTATTCTGCCTTGTTTTTCTGCTCTCTTTTCTACTAATGTGTTCTGATTTTCGAATTTAAAATTTTTTTTTTTTGAGTTTTTTCTGAGTTTAACTTTTTTTTCTGATTTTCATGTTTTGGATCTGATATTCCTTGAAATAATCTACACAGATTATGAATCAAGCAAATTAGAGTGAGATAGGAAGGTGGTACTAGAGGGTCCTATGATCTAATATTATTTTATGATCAATTGAAATAGCGTATGAAAGAGTGATATTTTTGCTGCACAATATGACAATATGTTAAAGCTATTTGTTGAGAACTCATTTGAAAGCAAGAACTATATTATGAACTGGACATAAAAACAAATATAAGCCCAAAACCACAAGCAAGAAAATTAATATTATTATTTTATCTATTTATACAAGACTGTCAAATAACAACAAAGAGAGTAATAATACTAAATCGAATGAAGAAAGAGAAAAAGAGAGAGAGAGAGAAAATACTATATTTATGATATATTATAGAGAGAGGGGAGAAAAGGGTCCTATTTATATGAATAGAGAAAGAAAACAAACAACAACAACCAATATGAACTGTTTACTAAGATATATTGCTAGTGTGTGCGATATTTTTTTCAGTATTATTATGATTACACATTGCTTTTTTTAATATAATATGTAGCAAACATTTTGGAAAAAATAAAAATAAAGAAAATAAAATGCATAAACAAAGATCATAATGAGTGTGTGTGTATGTAAGATCTTTTCACTAAAAATAGTTGATTTTTTTATCATTCATTCGTTTACACTTACCCTTGCTATAAAATGGTTTAAAAATTAGAAAGAAAAACATATATTTAGACAATTATGAGTTATTTAGGGCCATCAATGGGCAGTCATATTAAAAAAAAAAAAAACTCAGGAGGATAACAATACTCACCAAGAAAATCATTGTTCAATTCTGTATTAACAATTAATTCAACTTTAATTGGACGCCATGTTATCGGTCGTTGATCCAAAAAATGTTTATGTACAACATTTAATATATTTCGTTCAATATGAGAATTTGAACTAGTTTCAATAACCATTTCTATAACAACAAAAATAGTAGTATAACACTGTTATTATTAAAACTGAAAGATGATACATACTCAACGGTTCCACACCGTTGTCTTCAACCATCATTCAATTACTCTATAATATTTCTTATTTTTGTGAATCTACAATAGTAATTATACATTAAATAATCAAACTTGACTTTTGACTGTGACACTTTCGTAGACAGTCCTGCCTTAAATTAGTGAAAGATCTTAGCGCAAATAACATACTCAAAAATAGTTCACTTCTATATTCTGCATGCGATTCGCATGTATTGCAGAGCATCGAGAACGCTGTCCGACAGCAATATGTTTGACATATGCAAATAATTGTGGACAATAGTTCGCGGAAATGTGAAATTCGATCTGATACAATCTTAATTTAGTTTAGTTTTACAATCGCTTATCAGTTAGTTACTAGAGACTTAAACTGAACTCATCTCTAAAAGAATCAAAAGATATCACGACCGATTTTGACCTTTCTCAAGGGTGCCGTCAGGTGGTTTTCTTCGAGAAAGACAGAGTTAAGGTAGAACTGCGATTAGTAAAAGGATGGGTGACCACTTCCCAAGATCGAACCATAAGTACGATGCTTTTCTCATTTGTCTCAACGTTTGTTGAATGAAAGTTACTAGATAGGTTTTATGTTAAAGGATGAATCATTTCCGATAGAATGAAAAGAAAATTCTTAATGGAGAGGAGCAGAATATGTGCAGTGGTCAGTGATATTGTGCTCCATTCTCATCGTGTGAAAGTTATCATTCTTTGTTCGACGAGAACAACGAATAATAACAACCTCACACAGTGTAGACTGAGTTGTGTTGCTTGTCGTGCCTTAAGTCTACCTTTCTCGAAGGAAACCACCTGACGAGACCCTTGAGAAAGATCGAACTCGGTCGTAGTATTTATTCTTTTGATTCATTCAGAGATGAGTTGACTTTAAGTCTCTGGTAACTAACTGATAAGCGGTTGTAAAACTAAACTAAACTAAATTAAGATTGTATCGAGCCGGGTTTCACATTTCAGATATATGTACAAGAAGATAACAACCGCTCTATCACAGCCTATTACAGACAATGGAAATAGCAACGGACATCCAGAATAAGTGAACAACGTCTAATGCAGAGTTCTATTTTAAAGACACAACTTTCCGAAAGAAGAACAGATTTAAATGAAAAGCTAGTTGTGAGTGCAGTAAGTGAAAGTCTCATATTAGAAAACTGTTGTCTCACGAACTTGTCTACCATTTTCTTTGTTAGAGATCGAGCCTCTTTCCGAGACAGATACCTATTGCCTTGAATTGTTGATTTAATGAAAGAGATGTTTCTTAAAATAGTATTCTGATGAGTTTTTGTATCTTTTTTAAGTGATGTTCTTGATAGGTTTCAAAATGTAGGCGATGATTAGTCAAAAAAAGCCAATCCAATATCAAGAAAAAAATTACCTCTTCTTGTTGTTGTTTTTGTTATATTTATCGATTTTATGTATTTTGCCACGTAAAATATAGAATATTAGACGTCCTTAAAACTTCTAATACGCAGATTATGCAGTGATAAGCGCAGACTTATGTAATAGTTACTAGATATTAATATTGTTCATGATTTCTCTCACAAGAGTTTCTAACGTAGAAAATACTTGCTTTGCTCACATGTGGATATAACTACTTTTTACTTTGCAGATATTAGTTTCTCAAGGTTTAGTGCCTAATCATAATTTAGCTCGCTTGTTTACTTAAAAAAACATTTAGTAGAGATATTAGTTGGTGTAGTTCATCACAAACAACTACTATTTTCAATTAATAGTTAATCTTCTTTCAGTGATTAGAAATCATTAGTGAAAACCTAACAGAAATACTAGAATTCAATGTGCGATGAAGTTTTGTCATTTGTTTGCCTTAAAAGTTATTTAATCTTCATCTAGAAATTCGAAATGAATACTAGATAAGTGCTTTACTCTGATTTGCTATGTTCTTTTTTTCCTAAACTGTGTGCTGTTCAATAACAGAAGTTAAAGACTCTCTGCTGATAAGAAAAGTGGTTTGCTTGAAGAAAATGAGTTAAATGGGCGCTTTAATTTGAAAATGTTATTGTAACCACATTTTAATAAAATCCTTGAAATATTGTATCGAAGTAAAAAGGTTTCAAAGTTGAGAAATAGACTTTAAGTAAAAGTTTTTGCTTGGCTTTGCGTCACACTAAAAGTTTAATTTTCACTCCTTGAAACAGAGTACGACCAAGTTCGTTTTCTCTTACTGTTCTTGATTCTGTAAACAAACTTGCTTCTCGTGTTATTTCTCGCAATTTTTGACTACCGTTCTTCTAGTTCTCTACTTGTGTCTCAACTTTCTCTTCTAAATCTTTCTCTGCGTCGTAAATACTTTAGACTTCTACAGTTTTTCAAAATTTATCATCGTCTAAGTCCTGTTTCTCTTTTTGATACAGCTCATCGTCCACACTACTCATCTTTACGTCTTCATCACTCTAAATATGTTCGCATTCCATGTTCTGTTGATGGTTTTTCTCCGCAAATACTACATTCTTGTTTTTTTTATTCAACTATTGTTGATTGGAATAATCTCCCAGAGTCGGTTATTCGTCTTTTTTTTTAATGTCGTTCAAAACAGCTTTACTTCAGTATCTCTTCCAATGAAACGTTTGTCAGTTAAGAACTTATATTTGTTCTTGTTTGTTTATTTTTTAAAAATAATTTTTCCAGTTTCTAGTTCTGACCTTAGTGATCTTCTTTATTTTGTTCTTTATTATGACTCTTCTAGTGTTGTTTGGCTTGAGCCATTGTTATTACTGATCGGTGATTTTTGATGACTCCCTTTTCGTGAATAAAACAGTCTTAGTCTCAGTCCATATAATTTATCTATCTTTGAAGATCCAGTCACGATCAAACGTTTCCTATTACATTGTATGATATAATCTGATCTAGATATATATACATTTCATTTTATTTTTGTCAAAAGAATTGAAACTTTCGGACAGCTTGATAAACGGATAAAAAATTCAAACTTTTGATTATATTTCGATAGTTAGTTTATTTTTTTTTGAGATATTGCTAATTATAGTTGTTCACAAAAAGAAAAAAAAAACTATTGTTATAGATTGAGTTTTGTCCAAATAATATTAAATGTTAAGTATACAAAAACAATTCAATTCATCTGTTTACTTGAAGTATTCATTTCCATTTTCTTTTCAAATAGACATATCTCTTGTTTTTTTTGTGTTCAGAAATGAAAGAGGAAAAAGAAAAATTATTAGAAAGAAATAAAAAAAATACTAGCGACAGACACAATAATAAGTTTTCTTCTTTGTGTATATGCTTTAAATGAATTTAATTAGTAAATATACAGATATGATTTTAAACTATAGTAAAAATGTACTCATCTTACCCGCCTCTTTTCTTTTATATCCGCCCTTATGATCAGAAGTTGAAGAAGTTTAAAGAGTAGAAGAAAAAAAAAACAGGGTCACGTTACGTTCATCTTAGACATTGTTAATGGCTATTTCTATGCTTTTTCCTTCATTCGCAAATATAATTAGGTTAATTATATGGAGTTGTTTTTTTTCTATACAACTTACGCGAAGCAAGATTATTGTTAATACCTTAGCAAAATTAAAAAGCATTGTTATGCAATAAAAGTAATCGATAGAATTGCGAATGTTACTATAGATACGAGAACTTGTTTTCTTCTCTTTCTCTTCATCTTTGTTTTGTCCTATAGTCCGACTAAGAGTCATATGGCTAGATCCATACATTTATTGCTACTTTCTCACATATATTTCATATATACAATTGATCTTGTTTTCAATATTTTAATTTGGCGACATGTGTATCAATATAATAGAGAAATAGGTTTATTTTTTTTCTACTAGAAGAGGTTTTCTAATTTCAGAAGGTCAATGAGGATATATGTTGACCTTGTTTAAATACATATTGCATACCCTATAATCATCGTTTGAACTACAATATATATTTGATTTTTAATTGTAGATTCTTCTGCAAAGACGTTTTTGTTTTTTTTCAAATAATCTTCATATTACATGATTATACATTCGCTTCGACAAACAAATTTTCTCTTTTCTTGTCTTTTCTTTATCCTCGAAATGAATAAACTACATAGTTAATGTTTCTCGCTATGTGTATTATTTGAGTACTGATTAATTTACACATGCTCCATATTTATTTAATATTTATTCAACAATTCTTATGGTTCAAAGAAACTATCTTATAAAGTATACAATTAAGAACTTTTCAATTAAATAATTATAATAATAATAATAATAATTAATAATTAATGTTTGATGTCGTAGTATCAGCTGTTTTTTCATAAACGAAGATTTTTCTGTGCAGAGAGGTTTTTCCGAAATTGTGCACGGTTACAGAACGGTTCACAGAACAAGACAAATGTACACGGTTTTTGAAGAATGAGTTGTATCAGCTTTTTTTGTCATGATTATATCTTTCACTTGTCGACACAATTATTTCATTTTGAGAATTAAACAATACACGAACTTG